AATGCAAAGCAGTAAAAATGTACATATAGCACTTGATTAAATAGTTGTACTCAAATATCTCAGAGGAGCAACTCTGAGCAAAAGGTACTGTTTTTACAGTCGCTTTTCACATCAGAACCACACTTTGAAATACAGCGCCACATACTATGCTTATAACGTGAAATTCTATAAAAAAGCTTCTGAACTATAAAGTGATGCAATGCATTACCATTTTTATCCATGGAATGAGGCTCAGACTGTTTCTTGCCAATATCAGCAAAGGATCTGACAATTGGAATCCTGTTGCTTAGCTTTTTCTGATTCTGGTGATGGTGTTGTTTAAGTAAAGCTTCATGTACTCTGTGACGAACATCCTCACTGAGCTGCCCTGAGCCCACTTGTTGGTCAAGAATCATATCTGAAAAACATGTATATAATTCAATAAAAAGAGAGGGGAGATTATTAACAGCAATTATGATGCCAGATCAAACTACAACAGGTCAGAGGCCTGCATTCCTTACTTATTCACTGACTTCAAGAAAGAGAGATAGGAAATGATAATATTTTATAACATTTTTCTGTGGATAGTATTAAAGTTACAAAGCCAAGCACTCAAAAGTTAGGCAATGCCAGATTTAAGGTGGCCTGTGGAACCTTAAATTACCATCCTTGTTCACAGTCATTTTCTGGTACCTGACTTATGCACAGTATGAACCCTCTTTAATTTTATACTCACGTGCTATTTTTTCCTCAGGGCTTCTGCCTCATTCAGTGCACAGGACGGTCTTGTTACGGGGATAAAACAAAGTCATGTAGTGAAGAAGACTGTTACCAGCAGGACTCTTTTTACATTTGTTGCAGAATTGGTAGGTGTGTGGTAATGAGGTAGGGAATTACAGGAAGAGAAAGGATGCTCTCATGGCTAAGGCAGATGACTGAGAAAATTAGACTGTAAGTCTGCTTCTGCCACAGCAACACCATGTGATATTGGCCAAGTCAATTAAACAAAACGTTTTTTTACAGGTGGTCTCTAATTGAATGTTACTCATTTTCTATGTGCCAGATTTGAGGCCCTGAAATCTCAGTTGCAGAACTGAGTAGCACTCTCAGCTATAGATGACATCAATGTGAGCTAGCTTTAAACACAGAGTGCTAGATTATTCTAAGTATTCTGAAAAATTAGGTTGTACATGTCTTAAATTGTTCATCCAAGATCAGTGAATAATTTTGACCTTAAGTTCTCTGTACTACAACTAATGGTAACAGGAGTGATAACATCACCCACTCACCTCACATTAACATTATGAAAGCATTCAGAAACTGCAGTGATGAGTATAACAGAAAAGACCATCAGGAAATCAATTATTCATTGTCACAGGAGACAGGAAACAGTAGCATGCACCAAGTAAGAGATCACAGTGGGTCCAGAGGTGTAAATTGAAGCCTCAATCTTGATGTGTACCCAAAGTCACCTCCAGTGGATCTGGTTGTAAATAGGTCATTCTAGGCACAGTATCAGAGGCAGGTGGACACAAAATTGGGCACATTACAAGGGACATCTCCACTGAACATGTGCAAACTGCAATTTTTTGAAAGGCTCAAATTTGACCATACTTGCATCTATGGCATCTGACATACAGACCATGACTGTACCAAAAATCAAGACTTTCTAAAAGAAAAACTTGCCAGAATTGTTTAACAAGGGTAAATAATCTATTTTTCTCTAGCCTCATTCTCAGAAAAAGCTGAAATGTTTTGGTTGAAAATTTTCCAAACATTTTCTAAATGTATCTAAACCGAAACCCTGCATGGAAAATTCTACCAAAAGCATTCATATTTGTTTGTAATTGTAAGTAGCTGAAAAGATGGGGTTATAACGGAGTGTTGAATGGCTTGAATATACACAGTGCTACCAGCTTTGCCTTTAACAACAATCAGCCCGATGCTGCACTCCTCATTAAGACATGTCATCCACTGAAGTCAATGGCTGTTTTCCTTCAGGCCCAGTAAAACACTGTCCAGTGCATGATCTGCAAAGAACACACACTGGATTCTACCATCAGTCTTCTACCTAGTTGCTATCCTGGTAATCAATAGCAGCACTAACTGAAAAACTCTTATAATATTTTTTGTGGGAATAGGCCAATTCATTTAAATTTAAATATTCCATAGTGATACATCAATTTCACTGAAATTACAACAGAAATCAGACATGTATCCTGCCAGTTTACTTGTCTGGCTCCTTGGTAGCAGAAAGCCTGGGGTTGCTGTCTTCTCAGGCTCCTTCCTGCCTGGGACAGGTGGCAGTGTCAGGCCCTGTACAGCTCATGGAGCCTTGAAAACATTTTATGAAGGTAATAAAGCGGGAGTTAAATGTCATTTTTGCTTACTGAAAATAGCTCTCTCAAGAAAAGCTGCAGACACACACTACCTACATCAGTGTAACTATGCCTGTGGAGTTTTACCTCTGATTCTTTTTAAGATAACTGTACACCAGATTAGGCAGAATTACCCTAGTATAAAGGTTTATGTTGTCCATCCTCTCCTTTTTCATACCAGTGCAAACATGTCATCCACACAGCATTTTTCTCTCTGATGCTCACAGTTGCAGAAAGAAAATGAAAGAAAATTTTACTGGGGTTATGATTATAGTACTATTATTTCCATAGCATCTGAAAGTGCATTAAGAACTTTGCACACATTGAGTAAAGTACTGCCTTACACAGAACAGTGTACAAGGACAGAGAAGTGAGACAATACGTGGTGATTTTTACAACAATTTAGTAAAAAAATAGATAAACACTGAAAGAAAAATGGCTCTAAAAAGGGGAGAAAGAGAGATCTGCATTATAAAGATGAATTTTTGTTGAACTAAAAGAAAGCTAAGAAAGATCTGAGAAGGCCAGATAAGATGTTCTAGAAAGTAAGGGGGGGGGGGGGGGGGGGGATTGTTTGGCATTTCTGTAGTAGAAAAAATATGGGAGGATATGGGGTAAAGAAAAGTCAATATCAAAATCCTCATGAAAAAATGCCTCTACTACTCATTCTGTTGCCAGTTCAGGGAGAGCCTCTGCTCAAAGGATGAGGACCCCCTTTCATTTAGCCAAGCTTAGTGCATGGTTGTACATGTCACTGCTCCAGAAATGACTTAAGCTGGTGTCCCAGGGGCACAGGCCCAGAAAAGGGGGAAGCCTCACTCAGAGGCAAACCCCAAGAAAAAAGAAAAGAAAACTACAACTTACCTGTTGTAGGGGTCGGGAAGAGCACAGAAACACGCGGCGGGAAACCATCCACGCGATTCATCAGCCAAGCCTACATCCAGCTGGGGCCAGGTGACATCATGAGGAGTGTAACAGGAGGGACGGCAGAGTCGCCGTGCTAGCCCTTGCCGCCTCCTCTACTGTGCCAAGCTTCGGACTTGCACCCTCCTATTCTCGCCCACCACGACTTTGATGATATCTGTTTTTGTAGGGAGGCTACCTCTCCTCCACTTGGCCACAGTTCTCCTGCTCTGGGTGTCCGGCGTGTCTAGGCCTTGCGGGCCTTCTCTATACGCCACCCTTCTCACCGGGCTCTTCCTTCCCTCTGCAGGGCTGCCCTTCTCACCGGGCTCTTCCCGCTGCAGGGCTGCCCTTCTCACCAGGCTCTTCCTTGGAGCTGGGGTCTGTACCACCGAATTCCATGCCCTACTGGGGCTGGGGTCCTCACTCTACCGTGAGTCCCCTATGAGGCCTCCTCCATCCCCTTATAGCCTCACCCAAACCACCGGTGTAACATCAACACAAACTCGAGCCTCCTGGCTATAACTCAAACATGCGCCCTCTGGCTATAACAACATTGCTCCCTCTCTCTCCCTCTCCTTCCTAAGAGCCAGGCCTTGCCCCTTATAGCCAGCTGATCGCTGGCAGGTGTGGGTCATTTGCTGCCTCCTGTTGCCCTGGCAACCCGCACCTGACGAGCCTTCCTGGCTCTCGTAGTAGCAGGCACCTTAGTGTCCTGCTACAAGGAGACACCACCCAGCAGAAATAAAGAGCGGCCCCGAAGGCACAGGAGGTGGCAGAGGAATCGCGGGAAACCACGGCGTAGAGGGCGTCCAGCCGCTGCAGCCACCGGCGGCAGGAGTGGCAGCAGAAGTGGCAGCAGCAGCAATCAGCGCTGCGAGAGAGGCCCAGCTGGGATCAGGAGCTGGGCAGGGGTCAGGAGACCCTGTAAGGAGCTTGGCTGGGGCTAAGGCGGCAGGAGCTATGGAGTCCTCACAGTGGAGAGGACCGACGAGGGACTGACAGGATCGTAAAGGAAGGTGGCAGGACCCACGGGGATAGCCAGGCGGAGGAGCCCTCATTGAAGGCAACAGGTGCCGTGGCTCCAGGGTTGAGATGGATCCTGGGGGCGGAAGGGAGAAAGGCCCCGGCTGGGGTGAAGGCTTGAACCATGAACTGGAGGGATTGTTAGCTTTGGGGGAGTAAGGAGCAATAGAAGCCAGGAGTGGGTGGGACTCCCTCCCATGGGCGCTCACATTTTC